AGCTCTCAATATTCAAGTCGATCTTTATCCCCATACTTACCTACGGTCATGAATTGTGGACCATCACTGAGAAACTTCGAACCCGGGTACGAACTGCTGAAATCGGCTTTCTTAGACGAGTCGCTGGCCTGGCGCGACTCGACATGGTCGGGAATAGTGACATCCGGAAGAGCCTTGGAATACAGCCTTTGCTTTTCCAGATTGAGATTGAGATCACAGCTGCGATGGCTTGGGCATGTGTTGCGATTGCCTCCATAAAGGAAGGCTAAGCAACCGTTCCTTGCAAATCCGACCGGCAAAAGGCCCAGGGGACGGTTAAGATTAACCCGGTGCAAATATAAGGAAGGAGTCTGTTCGAGACTCCAGTTGTCTTCTGGAGAAGCTCAGACTCTGATCAGGATCAGGAACGTTGGAAGTACTCTCTGACGCGCCTGCCTTCGCGACCCGATTGAATTAGCGGTCATGGAAGATGAAGAGGAAGAGGATGGCATGATTGTAGGTTCTCTCTAAAATACCTTATCGCAATGGTGGAATCAAAAAGAAATCTAAGGTTTAGTTCTGAATTTGGTGCTAAGCTTCCTAAAGAGGGTAATAACGAAAGGATAATGAAATGGAAATTTCTTCCTGGCAAAGAACTAATATTGAGTAGTTTATTCTTGTCTTGGCGGTGGTTTTAAGACAGCATTAGGCATAGTTTATTTAGAGGCAACAGAAACTATGTGGTCAATCGGGCGATTGAACAGTACCGATATGTGTTTCAAAGGCCTTCTTCAAGATAGAGAAATGGATTAGTGTCAGAAATCGTTTCTGTCGTTTGCACCTGTTGTAACGTTTGGTCCCATACGGTATGTTGGGTGAAGCATCTTTTTGCAATAAAGATAGGCATCGATAGAATCCTAAAAAAAGTGCAGGAAATAAAAGTAAGAATTGAATAAAAGCGCAAATATGCCAAACCCGGTCAATATTGCATAGAACCACTTATGTTAGTATGCATATTTGATTCTTAGAAGCATATGCAGTCGACTCAGAGTATACTTTGGCGGAACATGATTTTCCATGTAGCAGATAACATATGATTTGGATGGCTGGTGGATCGTTTCACGTTTGGGCTGCGGTCTCATACAATCATATATAGCAAATTGACAGGAAATGGCTTTGTTCTCGAATTGCAATCCAGCGCACGAAATCCCCATGACGACTGCACTCAGATAATTTATTATGTCATTGTTCGTATTCATTTAGACACTTAATCTGGACGTGATGATCTTCGAAATTTTCGTGGGATTGCTCCACGATTGTATAGATTTTATAAATAGTATCGCGAACGTTTAGAGCTGTTCTTGGATAGCTGTCAGAGCAAAATGAAATGACAATATGCCTTCGTTTGAGGTGATCCCTGGATGATCTACTATATGAATATTTAACTACAGGTCTCAGTTTCTGCTGCATAAATCCCCTCTCTTCACTGTGAGGCACAGCCTACCTTTTTGCTGCGAATTTAAAATGATTCGCTTGCAAATTTTTCGCTGCATTTGAACATTGTGCCGATTCCTCACGCGTTGAGCAGGTGAGTCCGATATAGTAATAATATTATTGATTTCAGCGAAACTCAAGCGAACATATGTGATGGGTGATAAAACGGCCATTCACGATAAACTGACTGATATGAGCGCAGCAGAGGTCGTCCGGTCACCGGACCAGTGAAACTCGAAAACTAACCGGAGTATTTAGGAGATCGCGTGAATCGATAATGCCATGAAGCCTTCCCTCAAAAATTGCTCGGCATGTTGCGAGGATTAACGTTGATTTCCCTGGCCGTTTCATGGTAGCAGGAAAGATCAAAGGTATGAATTGGAATTTTAATTTTGGTCGTTAGAGCCGCGGTGTACAACGTAATAAAGTAATCAATTAATTGTCACATTTCCTTCAGGGTTTACAACAAGGCGTTATGTTTTGCTTCGTGTAACGTCTATTGTCCATTCTATAATGATGTCAAACGCCAATTCAGTCGAAACCCCTTATCTGAGGTAGAAAAATGCTCTTTTACCTCCAGGCTGTTGACAAACGAATCAAAATCTATTTGCAGTGATCCACGATTAGGTATTAGTATTAGTTTAGGAAGTTATAATTTTAAACACTATCAAATCAGCAGAATACTCCTGTCATAAGTAGAGACCTTTCAATGCCCACGACTGGAAAACGTTAGTTTGCAGGTCTATTTTGCTGTGAAGAGCCATCCCAAAATCGAATTTTTGAGAGCGATATGAAATTGAGTATACTTAAAAAATAAGATTTTGGCTTTCCTCTCTTTTTCTCTAGATTTTATCTCTTATTTACCTTTTCCAAAATAACCAACTACAATTAAATTTGAAAGGACAGTCGATTTTCCTCATTCTGTTATAAAACTCATATCCGGGAAAAGAGTAAGATAGAATGAACGAAACGCTCAATCGTACGATTAAGGATATGCTGATAAACAATAAGGAGCTAAAGAACAAAAATTTTCAAAAATTTAAATTTGGTGGAAACATTCGCGGCAAGAATTTGAAACAAAGTGTTTCATAAATTCATCTTTAATTTACCGCCAGTGATTGTTAGGTTATGTGGTATTGTCCTTAACCTGAAGGCAAACGAGTGTTGAACACCGGTCTTCACTGGAGTAGCAAAAACCTTAAAGATAAAGACATCGAAGGTTGTTCGGCTACATTTTAAAATGCAATGATGCAGCGGGATAGTAAATGCTGATTTGCTGAAAATATCAGGATGAAAATTCTGACAGAAGAATTCACGGACTACCGCTATTTTTATTTGATGAGAAAACCTAGAGAGGGACGGGAAATATGTCCAATAATGTTTTTCATGGGAACCGCCCTGTGATTAACGACGGTTAAGAAATTATGCAAAATTGGGACTGGTCACCAGTGAATTGAGACTTCTGAAAACGGATGTATTTTCATTAATGCTAATTGGATATCTTTGTGCACACTTTATCCCTATAGCAGGGAAGATTTAGGTACAAGTGACGCGGTTCAGGGCAGCCCATGGAACGCCACAGTGCTCCTTCTTTTAACACTTGCCAGGGAGACCTGAAACGCGACCTTAGTCAGTGAATCTTTGTACATTAGATGACTGGTCAACTTCGGCATCGATACTAGTTGCAGCCGAGCTATGCGTCTTTTTGTTTTCTTACTGTGCCTTCTACTCTAAGACTCTAGAGATGGTTTGTGGAGCCGGTTCAACCGGTTCAAGACACGGCACACGCTCATATGACTTCTGTACAGTTTACTGGTGTGATGCCACTTGCAGAACATTGGCTTCTTCGACCAAACAAGTGGTGCTCTTCTGCGACTATTTACGGCAGGCTAAAATACTTTGAAGCTTTGGCTGCCTAAAAGGTCTCCCAGATTGCTAGAAGCAAAGGAATGGTACGACGAGGATGTGGAATTCGGAGAG